CCTTCCTTATTCCGTATCTCCCTGCCTCTTTTCCTTCCTTCCCTTCCGTTTTTCCTTCCTTCCTTGCTCCCTTGTTCCGTGTCTCCCTCTTTTCTTTCTTCTTTCCTTCCTTCCTTTTCCTTCCTTGCGTCTTTCCTTCTATTTTTTTCCTTCCTTCCTTCCTTCCTTCCTTCCTTCCTTCCTTCCTTCCTTCCTCTATTTTTTCCCTCCCTCTGGCTGATCCCCAAAGGGGACAGGGCCGCCCTCACCTGTTCCAGGCGCTGCTCTCTTCCCCAATGTCACACTGGGCCAGGCACCGAGTCCCGGTCTGCACCTCCTCTTTGGCCAGGAAGGGCAACCTGGCCTGGGCCTCAGCCAAAGCCGTGAAGAGCTTCTCCATGGATTTGCAGCTTTCCTGCAAAGACCCCCATCCCACCCCCCCAAAAAAACAAGGATTGCAGCCTCTAAAACCAGCAAAGTGCTCCCTAGGGGCACCGATCAAGTTTCTAGCCCTCATGGGGCTTGGAAACGGGGGCCACGGCTGCTCCCCCCAGCAGCACGGGTCACGTTTCTAGCCCTCGTGAGGGTTCAAAGAAACGGTGCCCGCTGTCTCCGTGGCGAGGGGTCTACAGAAGGGAAGCCCTCCGCTTGGGAATTTCGGGCGTCGATCCTGCAAACCTCGTTGAGGACCATGCCCCAGAAGTACGGCATCAGCGGGAACGTGTCCGTCACCAAAAGCCCCGCCTCCCCTGCGGCCACGCCGGCCACGGAACCGAGCCACTTGGCATCTCCAAAGCAGCCGTTCAACACGTGGAACAGGAATGAACTTCTGCAAAGGAAAATAAAACAAGAAGCAGAGGGAAAGCGAGAGAGAGAGGGTGGGACCCCTCCAGGTCATCTAGAAGAACCCCTCCCCCAGTCGCCTAGAAATTTTTGAAGGCGTCCGAAGCGAAAGAACGAGTTAAGGACGTGGCCAGTGAGCTCCTCGGTGCAAAATATTGAATTGATGCAACGCATCCGTCAGGCCGAAACCTCCAATTCCCACCAAAACCTGTCGCCAAATTCATAATTATCACCGAGGGGGAGAAAAAAAACTCACATTTTTTTTCCTCCCCACGTTTGCAACGTACCTCATTTCCATGGGGACAGCATAGCAGGCCCTCTGATTTACAGGGGAGTTATGGGTGGCACCTTTGGTGAGGTTAAAAAAGAAGCAGCAACAAATTTAAGCCTTGAAGCCAGCAAGGCTAAACATCCACGTAAATCGCCACCAAGAAAAATCAAGCTCAGCCAGATGTTCTTAAAACAGCATTAAAAATCAATTAATTAATCAAAAATAGCGTATGAGGCTGTCTTCCATGGAAGGTTTTTACCAGGATTAAAATAATAATAAACAACAACAACAATAATAATAATAATCAATAATAATAATATAACAAGAATAGAACAAGATCGCTATCTCGTACCATTGGTAAATCCATATTCACTGGGTGGGACCAATTCCAAATCCTACAAAGGCAATTTAAAAAAAAAAAGATATTTGTAAGGGAATAAATCCAGAACTGCAAACAATCCATTGCACTAAAAATTTAAAACGGCCCAATCCCCTTCATCGTGACTGCTTCAGCAAACTATGATTAAACAAACCATCGTTTGGTGCAAGAACTGAAGCTTGAATTAGCATCCGCTCCCCCAGAGCCTACAACGAGGACCCCAAAATTGCAAAGGAGTTTTGTTTCTGGGTTTATAAAACGATTTAAATTTCAACGCATTAACCAAAAGCTACCAAAAAATAAATTAAAAAATAAAATATAACCAATCCATACAATGGATTTCCCTTCTGACAATATTAAAATTTAGCTGTTTAAAATGGTCAACTTACAGACCGCAACTGAGCCTACAGCAAGTGTGAAAAACGGTCATAAGTCACCATTTTAGAGGTCGTTAAGTCTGAGAAAAACAACCCTAAGTCGCTTTTTTTCAGTGTCGTCACTAAAGGAACTTGTTATAAGTCGAGGACTTTCTGTAAATCTGTTTATAGGCTCCGAGAATCAGCTTTTTGGGGGCAGGGAGGGAGAAAGTGAGCTCTAAGGAGGTGAATCGTGGCTTACCGGCATCGGAGGGATGGTTTTCGCAACCTCGTGGGTTTTCCTGTTTTCCGAAAATGCGACGGAAATCCGTCTCCCTTTTAAGAAGTGTCCATTCAAAAGCTGGATTGCTAATTTTGCGGATTCTGGGGACATCAAGTCCAGAAATGCAAAACTACAGAGGGAAAATGGATTGAAAAAGAAATTGAAAACAGAAAAAACCTTTCCAAATGGGGAGCCCTTTTAAAATAGGACACGATCCCCATCGCCCCCCAATTCCCATCGTCCCCAGCCCCCTCTTGAGCCTAGCTTTCCCTTGGAAAACCAGCTCGTTCTTTTAGCTCCTTGGTCTACCTCGCAGGGCTGTTGTGGCAAGCAGGGAAGGAAGATCAACGAAGCCAGATCGTCCTCGATCTTACGACCGACCCAGGAATGGAACTTATGTCGCTTAAGCAAAATGGCGGCGGGGGTGTGTGTTTTCTTAAAAATTTCACCGCGGTTCTTAAGCGAACGAGGTGTGGTCATTTGAGCGAATCCTGCAGTTGTTAAGCGAATCCTGCATCTTCCCTTGTTGGAAGTTGGCTGGGAAAGTCACAAACTGGGTCACTAATCCCGGGACGTTGCTACCGTCTGAATACACGACAAATAGCTTGGGTTTTGATCACGTGACGGGGGGGGGGGGGGGAAACGCCACAATGGTCGTAAGTGTGAGGACGGATCCTAAGTCCCTTTTTTCAGAGCCGTTGTGGCTTCGAATGGTTGTCCAATCAGGCCCGATTTGCTCAACACCACCTCTTGCTTAGCAACGGACATTCTGGCTGCCCTCAAAATAATTCACATTTTGAGGATTTTTTAATGTATGTATATATGTATGTATAGAAATGCCGGCCTACCATCTGAAAGAATTACTGTGCTTCTTCAAAGATTTGATTCCAAAATCCTTGAATAAGAAGGCAATCTCTTCCTAATGAAGAAATAATAAAATTTTTAAAAAAAGAAATTACGGAAACATAGATTAAAACATTTTTTTAAAACAAGGGATTCTCAGCGCCGGAAGAAAAATTAAAATTTAAGATTCCTCGATCGGAATGATTACTCTGAAAAGTTTCAAAGTTTCATCTGGGGTTTTTAAAGATTTTTTTTTTCCCCAGACAGCAAAGGATGAATATCATCCCGAACGGATTGTATTATATTTTATTTATCTCTATATTAAATGGTTGCATTTTATTCCAATTTCATTTGAAACTGTTCTTGATCAGGTTTTAGTCATAATTTCTGGCTGGAACTCTGCCCTTTGATATGGCCCGTGGGCTAATAATCAATAAAGTAAACCCAAATGGATCCATTTTCGATGGGCTGCGACCGTTTTATTGCACAGCTGCCATGAATATTTGATATGCAGTGAAATTTTATCTCTTTATGTTTATAGTTCATGTTACTAGCCCTCATGTCCCTTCTCAAGGAAGGACTCTGGACGGCGATTAAATTATCTGAGAGTTTGGGCTAAAAACTAATAAAGCCTTTGGCCCTGAGGGTCGTTGTCATATCGTAGTATTTTTATAAAGACTGTTTAATTTCGCCTACAATTCTTGCTTGCTTAGCCATGGAGATTTTGGTCTGTATTGTGGGTCAAGGACTAACTATGTCCCTTACGTAATGTTATCTATTGCGTATGTGGGTTTGTGGTATCTAATGCGTAAAATAAATGTTGCAAACCCACCTCTTTGATATCCAGGGGGAGATTTCCAACGAAGATTTCCTTTTTTAAAAGCTCTGAAAAAGCAAACTTGGGTTAAGACCCAGAGCCCATAAAACGGGGGGGAATAGATGGACACGTTTTATGACCAACGATGACTCCACGGAATAGGAAAAGGCCCGCCCTTCTTTCCTCCCCTCCCTCCTTCCTTCTCCCTCCCTCCTTTCTTTTTTCCTCCTCTCTTCTTTCCACTCATCCTTCCCTTCTTCCTCCCTCCCTTCCTTCTCACTCCCTGTCCCTTCTTCCTTTCTCTCCTTCCTTCATTTCTTTCCCTCCCTCCCTTCCATTCCTTCCTTCCTACCCATTCATTGCTTCCTCCTTCCTCCCACTCCTTCCTTCCCTTTCTCCCTCCCTCCCACTTTCTTCCTTCCTCCTCTTTCCACTCCTTCCTCCCTCCCTCCCACTCCTTTCTTCCACTTTTTCTTCCTCCTCTTCTTTCCACCTGTCCATCTCTCCCTTCTACGCCTTCCTTCCTTCCTTCCTTCCTTCCTTCCTTCCTTCCTTCCTTCCTTCACTGCTTCCTCCTCCCTCCTTTCCACTCCTCTTCCCCCTTTTTGGGCATGCAAAAATCCCAGACACGGTTTAATTGCGTGCCTAATTCACACATTGGATCGACTCTTACCACCCGACTGTTTCAAGGGGTTCGCTTTAACCAGCTTCTTTGAGCCCGGGCAACAGGGGTTTTTGTGGCCGTATCTTAACCTACAAACCAGGTTAGAACAATCTAGGATTAATAACTGCCACCTTTTGCAAGCTTGTTTTCCTTTGACATAATCCCTCAGCCCGGCTAACTTGAGCAAGTAAAAAAGATAATAGTGTAATTATGCACCTTTGCCAGGATTTGCAGGGTTGTTTTTAAATCAAACTAACCATAAAACTGTGCAGGGAAAGTGTGCAAAATAAGTTAACTTGCAGTTTAATCTTTAGCAAGGATTATATTCTAAAATATTTTCTCCTTCCTACTCACATCTTGCGCTCTGGTGACTTTGCAGGATCCAGCACGACACCCTAAAATAATAACATTAATATTACTATTAATAATATTTTTTAAAAAAAAAAACCTGACATCTTGTGACCTTAAATATTCTTATAAAAATATCAGGCAAAACCTCTGGCTGAACCAACCACAATATTATTACTCATTAATCATAAAGATATTTGTTATAATTAAACACCACTGCATTCCTTTCCCTTCCGTTTACATATGAAAGACCTGAGACTCGAAACAAAAAAGCAAAATATTTTAAAAATATTTACAAATATGTTGTAAATACAAGACGTTCGTAAGCCTATAGACACACAACGCTGCAATTTAAGATACAAAACCCTACAATATTTACATTTACATTTAGGTATTTATTTCTTTAGCTTATGGCACGAGGACTAGCCATATATATTGGATAATGTCATATTAATGGAATAACAGACTTGGAGGGGTCCTCTGGAGATCAGTTAGTCCAACCCCCCCTACTCAAGTATTAAAGGCTTTAGTACTTAATATTTATTTATTTAGCGTATTAATGCTTAATACAAACCAGGTGGAAATAAAAACAAGAAACTTCGAATCAAAGCAACTAAGATTTTATCACGATTCTCTGCAGGAAATGCTAGCAAGGAGGATGGGTATTGTAGTCTTCTGGATTAAGGGCAGCGTAGTTAGGAACGAAGGATTTCAGCCAAGAATTTAACCACGTTGCAACAGCAAAATTGGGATTATTTTTCTGCATAGGGGCGGTCCCTATCCGTATTTTTTTTCTTTTCCCAACACGCCTTTGCTATTATTAATATTGTTATTATTATTTGCATTTATTTTTAAAGGCATAAAGTGGGCTTTTTTTTGGCGGGGGAGGCCATTTGGGGTGTTGGAAAAAGCAGGGGAGGAAAACGCCGCTGTTGCAAAGGAGAAAGTAGAAAAGGGTCTCACTCCGGATTACTCACCCGGAGAGAAGAAAAGAGACGCGAACTCGGAGCAAACGAGCGCAAAACTCCCACGAGGCTATCAAGGCGCGGCGCGGTTTTGCGCCGGCGCGCATCGCTTCCCCCGCCCTGCCCCTCTCTGGCTCTCCATGGGGAGGGGGGGAGGAAGGAGAGCGTTTAATCCGGAGTGGATCCGGATTAGA